AATGTGGAATATGGGTCCTTCTATTTTTTAAAACTAAATACAAACCAAAATATGTCATGACACTGTTTTGAAGTAAGTGCTTTTGCTTATACTTTTAATGTATTTAAGGCAGAGAAAGGATATGTGCCAAGATTTTGTTCACATTAAGTATAGTTCTTTATTTTAGCTGAAATTGACATGTTCACGCACCTCTTAAGCGGAATACATTTTTAAGGTATCACTTGTTAATAAAAAATAGTAAAATTTCATTCGCTTTTTTTTGCAATATTACTATAAGGAGAAGCAGATAAGCAAACACTAACAACAAAAAATTTACAATATATACATTATACGGTGTTCAAAATTTTCTAACGCCCTCTCTCGTTCCATTTTTGAGATTAAAAGTAAAAGTTGGTAAGGAATTTTTTTTTCTTCGCCTAGAGGTAGTTTTAAAGTAACTATTTATCATATTAGATTAAATCTGCATTCTGGATAACAAAAATTATCTGTATGTAATAATCGTAATACTCGTTTTGAATTGACAACGTTAATGGAAATAACGTAAATATCTGCTTCTGCTTACCTGCTTAATAAAATGTCGTATGTATCACTGGTGTTCAACAATAGTAGAAATTAGTTTTTGTCATATTTATTAATCTATCTTTAGTAATAGCTCCGGAAAAGCCCATTTTTAAAAGTATTTCTTAATTACCTCTATTTGTTAAAAATTATCGAAAGTCGTCGGTCAATAAATACCATGTTTTAGTGGAAGGCCCATTATATTTTTTCCTATGTCCCAAAATTAAATTTTTCAATTGATAAAATGGTCTAAACCAAACTATACAGAAATTAAAAATATCTCCATTTTTATGGCAAAATATAAAACTGGGATAAGATCGAACAAAGCAGGATTCACTTGTTCGATGGAATCGACATAATGCTTGCTACATAAATAACGTTTTAAAATGAAGCGAAGAATATTTAATTTGAATTACCTACATTTGATTTTGTTAAAAGAGACTTAAGATTCTGAGAATTTGCCATTTTTATTTTAAGCCGAGTACATTCAAGCTCAAATTGAGCTTGACCTATTTGAACCAAGTATTTTGTTTTCTCCGTGCAGCAATTATATCCATGAAATTGACAATATAATAACACGTGTTAATCTGTTAATAAACAAACCATATGGTTTTGTTGCTGTGCGACTATCTAGCCCAGTCTCTTTTAAAGTATAATCTTCTTCTGCTTCTTCGAATCCACTTCGTCCACAGCGGAAATTGCAAAGAATCCAGATGACTTTTCAATATACAAAAAAAAAATTCTTGGTAATTAATTCATTTAATACCGAGCGGTATAGAACAGGTGAATAAAATCTTACTAAAGATTTATCCGCCTACTACGATAGCCCATAAAATATTGGATGAAACTTCTGCTAGGCCGTCAGAGTTCGTGCATGACTTGATGCCTAAATGTTCATTAAAATTTTCCCAGGTTTCTTCACTTGAGTCCAAGGAAGTTATAATGTCTTTGATCAAATCAAAAGCTCTAGACTTTTATTGTTTGAGTAGTAAAATCATTTAAGAGTGCTGCAATGCAATAGTTTTACCATTGCCAGACATCATAAATTAGTGTTTTCTTACTTGAGTATATCAAGAGGTTTTTCAAATATCTCCAAGTTGTGCCAGTCTACAAAAAATAGTTTAGAAGGTTTTGGATATAGTTATTCATTATCAATTTTCTTATTATTTTGAGTTTAATATTTCCATAATTAAAATTACTTTGGATTAAGAAAAAAATTACGTTCTACTACCCAAGCACTGTTGCGTATAGTGACTGGTATAGTAAAGGGCTTCGTAAGGATATAATAGTTTGACGCTCTTAACGCAAGGCTTTCAGTTTCACTGGAAAAACTTTTACGGTTGGGAACCCATGTGTCTGCTGTAAATTCTACAGATGACTCTACATTTAAAACATCAAATCCAAATATAGTAAAATTATTATTAGCTACTAGGCTCTTTTTAATTTAATTTTTGGCATATGCTGTTATACTATGGGGAAACTCAACAAATTCCACGCAAAAAAGAATGTGGAAAGCTGATAACACAATAATTATTATTTGGCTGGTCGTCTATCGTTTTGTCGTTATGTTTTCTACCTTGTTATCAGCTTTCCACATTTTTTTTTTTTGTTTCAAGCACATGTCGATGCACTTACTCCATTGTCAACCTCTGTTCAGAAATTTAGGGTTATGCCACTGGCATCGGAATATATCTGCCATACAGTTTTGGAAAATCATAACTTGATAAAGCTGTTATGGTCTGTTCATAGATATAAGAAAGTGACCAATTGCTTTTGAATGGGATTATCCAAGGGTGGTCATTAACATACAATGCAACAAGATTATTACCTAAAATTTCGGAATTTAAATTCAGGTAAAATTGTGGTCCGCAATAGAAAATAATTTTATACCAACCTGTCTTGAATTTTCTTTGGTTTGGTATACTACTTAATTTAAGTTTATTAGTAATCATTCTTATTTCGTGTGTAATACAGCGTGTGTTGGATCGTGTGCGAATTATGCAAAATATGTGCGAGTCTAGTGTATCTCAGGAGATTCTCCCGCAAAAATGTAGAAAATACTATTCTATTTGACTCTCATTGAACGTGGTGCCAGCAAGCAAGCATCTTTAGAAGAAACGGAAAATTGTGAACAATCTTCATGCTGGCTCTAAAGACGGTTGGATTCCTGCGAAAAATATTAAGGATTCTTCTCTGGATTACCATGAAGACACCACCGCTGACTTATTTCAAAGTTGATTTAAAAACAAACTAGTTCCAAACATTCCTCCTAATAGCGTCATTGTAATGGACAATACAAGTTATCATAGTAGAGAGTTGACTAAAACCGCTTCATCATGTGAGACAAAAGCAACAATCCAAAACTACATGTATAACAACGACATTTATTTTCACCAAGATTATACCAAAAAGCAATTAATTGAGGTTCCATTCCATTCCATTCCCATTTAACATGTTTTGCACCAAGTGAAATCTGCCATTCGTCGTAACAATGTTTTTCCAATGTCCTCATTATAGAAACCGAAGTTTTTAACATCCCTCCACAAAGTTGGGCAAATTCTGTTAAACATATAGAAAAAGCAGAACAATCGTATATCCACATTGCACATTACAAATAATGTAGAACAAATAATAATTAGAACAGGCGATGATAGTGATAGTGATACTGATATATTATGTGAATAATTTTAAGTAATTTAAGTAGGTAATAAAAATAATTTGTAATTTTATTTTAGATTTCAATAAATAAATATTGTTTAGTATCTTTCCTAACAAAACCCCAAATAATTAAATTCTAAGCAAAGTACGGACTTGTTCGGCCATATTTCATTCTTACAGCTTGCAGTCTTTCCTTAATTCGCATCAGTTAGTCACTGTCTTATATCTATGAACAGACTTTACCACTCCACTCAGATGATGATGGATATTCAATTTCCTCCTCAAATTTGCTTCCAAGTAAGAAGTTTAAATACACCAAATGCGTGTGTGGTTCTTGCGGTCGATATTCAAATTGTTTTTTATGTGATGTATTACGTTTTTATACCTTTTTATTGTGGATTTCATCTAATCGTATACATGTTTTTGTACTTGGACGTGCTGTAAATATACTTTATATGTTAACACAATCAAATAAAGGGTCTATCTATCAATATTCCATGCCGCATAGCGTGAATAATCCTGAAAATTGATTAAGGATAGAAGTTTTATTATAGAAATCGGTTAAGACCACACGTACTTGCTGGAAATTACAAATATTGCCAGGGTGCTGTTATAAATATTAAACAAAAGTAATTAACACATAAAACATTACAAGGTAATTTAATTCTCATCGAATGGATATCATAATATGAGTTTTCTCCGTGCTCCCAAATTAAACGTCCCGCCAGTAAGTTGGAAAGTATTTTAATTTGGTCGAAATTAATTCGTTGGCAAAATAGAGAAAAGTCCTTAGTCAAGAATTCGGAATGCTGTGGCGGAAACCCCAATAGATTAGGGGAGAATATACCCCAATGATTATATTGGCTAATAATTTAGTTGCTGACTTTGGGAAGCCGAATGGTCCCTCATCCCTGGCCAATTTTAAAGCTATCCGAAGTGTATAATGGATCTCGATAGATTATGATTTGCTTATAGGAGAGCAGCTGCTGAAAACATGATAAATGACACTAATTTATGCTTAAAATGTACGAATTCAACGCTGGTCAAGTTAATATAGTATTGGGGTATGAGAAGGGAGTACGAGCCTGACCCTACAACTAATTAATAACTATTATTTGTCGGGTCGTCTATCGTTAGAAATAATAAGGGGCTCTACAGTGTTTTCTACCTTGTTATCAGCTTTGCACATTATTTTTTCTGTTTCAAGCACATGTTGGACGAACTTGCTCCATTTCTCACGATCAACTGTCTGTATTTCGGCATGCAAGTGGGTTTCAACTCCCTTCGTTTTAAAAGTCGTGTTATGCCTTACTACAAATGCTTTTAATTGCGTCTATTTAACTTGCATTGATTCGTCGACAAGCAATTTCGTATAAAAAGATTTGTTCAAATTTAGATTTAGCATTTTTGAAAATTTTGTATTTTGGTCACATTGCCACATTTCCTCTTATTTGTTTTTGATTTAATGTTTTCACGAACGTTATTGTGCAAGCAATTTTAATAAGTTTTTTAAATAATTTTTCAAAGAAAGTTCCACTGGTAACTGTAATACTATTTACAAATCTTCTGGATTTCTCCTACGTAAACTTTTTTTAAAAATATTTTTCCTTTAGTTTTTTAAAACTGATTAAGATTAGATGTATTAAAAACCCATCGAAATTGTAATAATAATATTTTTAATAACGATTCCAGATTATTTTGGATAGCAGTCGTGATGTTAAGTTTCGGACTGGCGATATGGCAAGGGCTGATTGTCCTTACTCATTATCAAAATCGTCCGGTGATTGTGACTGTCGAAAAAGATTCGTATCTGTGGAACTTGCAGTTTCCTTCTGCCACGATATGTTTCAAGGAGTTTTGGCCCGACAAATTGCAATTATCTCTCGCCGAATTAACGAGGTTAGAAATTAATGAACTATACCGTTTATGAAGTTAAAATTTGAGTGCTTCGGTTTTCCAGTTTGCTTTATCGAAATAAAATATTTTCGGTGACCCAACAGTGCCGCTTCTAACAATGATTTCTTCTTTAATGATTTCTTCTAATAATTCGGTCTGATGGTTGTCGTCCAATAAATTATTCCCACAATCTGATTAATTGATTGAATTCCAAAGGTAAAGAAACAACCACATATAATACGACCAAAAATATAGTGCATTTATTGCTTTGACGTTTTAAGTATTTTACAGTATCTTAACAGCAGACCTTCGCAGGACCGTGGTAAAACCCATCCCAACAGATGTTTATTCCATATTTAGTAGGTCTCGCATGAGATGGACCGTACCGAATATTTGTAGAAACTTGAAATCTTTATTTGATACGTTAATGGACCGTTTTAAATTTGATTAAGCCATTGATGCTGCGAGTTATTTTCGTATAAGTAGAAGCGTGATACGTATAGTTCTTAAGAGTTTAATCTAAATTGCAATATGTTCGTGTATATTAGGGAGGTATTTGACTGATCCCTCGAGTAAGTACGTATTTATGTACCTGTTTCTCGAGCTTTGACCCTAAGAGGCTGTTTTCACTGGATAGTTCAAAGGTTAAGGGATGTACCTTTACTCTATTTATCTTACAGGTAAGTTAGAAAATAATCATTTTTGTCTTGTGTGTCTTTCGATTAACTTCTTGTATTTTTGTGTCCTCTACTTCGATTTGAAACAACAACAGTTTTTTTTTTACTTCAAAAGAATGCAGATAAATATTCATTAGAATCTTACATTTAAACATTTTTTGAAGGTTCCTGTTTCTTAACACTTTAAAATGTTTAAACCGTGCGATGAAAAAGATGTTCCCTTGTTAGAAGAAGATATGGTAACAACGCAGAATTTGAAGACGAAGTGAAGATGGTAGTCGAACCTAATGACAATTTAGAAGGAGAACTACAGCCGCAAATAAAAAAACGGATCCATTTGTCTACGGATATTAAACAAATTGTTTTAAATGTTTACAATTTTATAAGAACTTCAGAAGGGGAAGTAAGAGCAGCAATTGACATTACCAAAGTTCTGAGGTTAACTGTAAGAAAAATTGTTGCAAATGGGATAGTCAAGAGCAAAGTGACAGAAGAAGCTCGTACTTCTCGAGTCTTTAAAGAGCAACACGCAGATCTAATTTGGCTTATAATCTACGACGCTTATGAAGTGAATAGCGTTTTAACTCTAGAAGAACTGCATAAAAAAGTACTAAAAGAACATAAAAAGTGCAGACTTAAACAGTAGTTTAAAGAAAATGTATTTTCAGTTCCAAACAATTATGCTCATGGAATCGCAAAGAGTTTCGCAATGGAGTGTGGATTATTTAAATGCAATTGAATAATTTGGAGTGCAAAATAGCAAAAAATAGTGTATTTAGTTGAAACGTGGTTCGACAGAAAGGAAGTTAGACGGATATGCCGAAGAAAGAAAAGAGGTGAAGAAACCAAAAAGTTTGAAGACCTCGAAGATGATAACACAAACAACGGAGTAAGGGACTTCTACAAGAAATTGACAATATATAGAAAAGGTTTTAAGCCAAAAACAGAAAATTTTCTTCAAAGGGATGACGGGACACTAATAACGGAGCAAAGTAGTATCCTGGATGCCTGCAAGACACATTTCGAATTCCTCCTAAACACCCAAGGCCCAGAAGAAGCAAAAACAAAAATATTTCAAACTGTTGACTGGCCAGTATCACATCGGAACTAATAAAATACGGAGGAGAAATATTACACAAAAATCTACACCAATTGATTTCGGATATATGGGAAACAGAAAACATAGACTGACACCATATGCAGAAATTATAAATAAATAAATTTTCTCCATACGGATGATGCTAGAAAAATGCTGGGAATATAACAAAGGAATTCATCATCTATTTATAGACTTTAGACAGGTATATGACAGGTTGAAGAGGACCGCTTTATGGGAAGCCATGTCAAAACTCTCCATTCCAGCAAAACTCATAGCACTGATAAAGATGTGCGTTAGCGGCTCAAAAAGTGCAGTCTGTATAGGAACATTGTCAGACTATTTCCACATAAACAACGGCCTACGACAGGGAGATGCACTATCCCCCTTGCCGTTTAATACCACCCTAGAGAAAGTCATTAGATATGCAGAAGTGAACCTAGAAAATTTTTCACCAAATGAACCAACTTGCTTCTGGCAAATGCTGATGATATCGATATCATAGAAAGATCGGTCTGTGGAGTGAAAGAAATGTTTGTAAAAATACAAAAGAACGCCATCAAAATTGTCGAATCCACAGCGTAAACCGATGTCTCTTTGCTCTTTCTGGAGTCCTTAAATCTAAAGTGGTATGGCGAAAGTACAAAATTAAAATCTCTAAAACCATACTAAAATCGATGCTAATGTATGGGTACGAAAGCTCGACAATGACGAAGCAAAACGGGGGAAAACTGAGGGGTTTTGAAAGAAAAATCCTAAGAATAATCTTTGGCCCTGTAAAAGATACTGAAATGGGAAACTACAGACGAAGAAACAACAATGAACTGAGAGACATATATCAGGAAGCGGATATTGTCCAGGAGAGTAAATCCAGACGACTAAGATGGCTTGGACACATAGAACATAGTCCAGAAAATAGAATTACAAAGCTAGTCTGGAGTGACAATCCAGCTGGGAGAAGACCTCTAGGCAGACCTCGTTTAAGATGGCGAGATAATATAATATCAGATCTCAGGGCAATGGGATACACGTACCAACCCCAAATGACAGAAGATCGTCATGAATGGAGGCGAAATGTAATGTAGTGCTACTGATGATGATGATGATGATGTGGTTCGACACAAACGACACAGTAAGAAAAGGATGGTGTGATAACAGTAAAGGGTGTGTACTAGACGTGCCGCCTTCACATGGAAAACGCATAATAATTCTTCATGCTGGGTTCAAAAATGGTTGGGTGGAAGGTGCCTTATTTTTGTCTGCCAAAAACGTCAAAAATTCAAGTGTGGATTATAATGAAAATATGACCGCGGAAATATTAGAGGACTGGTCTGAAAATTAATTGTTGCCAAAACTATCGCCAAAGACTGTTAATGTTTTGAATGTTTTGAATTAGAAAAATTCCAAATACTTCAAATAAAGAAGAAGTTAAATAATTTCTTTACGAAAATGATTTAAATTTTGAACAGAGCTCCATGAAAAAAAACACCTCTGCAATTATGACAAATAAAACATTTTAATAAAGACGACAAAATCGATTCTATAGCACAACAAAATGGACATGAAATCTTGAGATTACCCTTTTGTCACTGTATATTTAACCCGATTGAGGGAAGGTAGAGAAGAATTTTCTAGAGCAAAATAGGCCAATAGTGTCAAAAAGGATGATGTGATAACGGTAACAAGTGTATACTAGACGTGCCGCCTTCACATGGAAAATGCATAATTCTTCATGCTTCGTCCAAAAATGGTTGGGTGGAAGATGCCTTATATTACCTCTGTATCAATTTATATTTATCCCTATTGAGATGATTTGGTCTGAGTTGAAAGCGCATATAAGAAGAAATAACATTGCACCAAAATTTAGTGATCGTACCATCAACGTAATTCGGCAAGAAGTAGATAAAATTTCACTACAAAGCTAATCTAACTGTGAAAAACGAGGAACAAAAGAAAAAAATATTTATCGAGAACGATTAGTGGCGGAGTTGATCATTGAACTAGTTAATCACGGCTTCGGTTGTAAAAGCACTATATTTCTGGTCGAAGTATACCATAGAAGTATACCTCTTCTATGCTTAACTGTTTCTGGACGATGTGTGCATCTTACACCATAAATACACAAAACTTCGATTCTTTGAACTCTTTTCACTCTTGGCATTTATTGCCGATATCCCTTCGCAAACAATAATATTGCTCTGTTTTTTACTGAAAGAAGAGGTTTTTTTACGGATGTTCGTGCTTTTAATCGTTGCTTTAATTTTGTACGATACCATATATTTTCTTGTTAGAAGCGGCAACATTGCATTGTACAACAGATTCGAAAACCTGCCATAAGATTTTTAGTATTCTGAATATATCGATCGCTTTCGAAGACACCAAAAAAGAAGATTTTCTGCAATATCTGAGAGAACTTGCTTTCACCGACTACCGGATGTACAAGAACTACGAAAAATATGCCAACGGCAGTCGAAAAGAGTTGCTAACGCCGGATAGGTATATGGACGTGCTCGATCAAATGGTCATGACCTACGGCATCGAAAAACCGGGAAAAAAGAAGAGGATTTCTGCCATCAAGTATCCGCTAAACACGGTAGCTCCATTCCAGAGGATTTTTACCGAACTAGGACCCTGTACCGCCTTTAATCCTGGGGTCGGAATTTATTATACGCCTCTGTCAGTTTCACCTTTCTTTTCAATTCAAATTTAAACAGAAACTGAATGTCGCGTTTTAGATTTCTCAATAGTTCGAAGCAATACGACGGTTTCGTTTCTATATGGTACGACAGACATGACTACGCCAGTTGGATAATTAAAGAGAAGACTACCGAAGAGTTTACGGTAAGTGGGATAGGAGGTTAAAATATCCCAGTTTTTTAAAATGCATTTAAAGATAGAGTTGAAGATCGGATTGCGAAAACCATTTACCGGGTGACACATGAAAGTGGGAATACTCTATAACATAATATAGGCTGAATGTCCAATTTTTTGGCAATATGTAGTCAATGGTTGCACTTCAAAACCTATATTTTTTGCATTTTTGATTCAGGAGATCATTCTAGGTAGGATATGACAGTTTTTCTCATTTGTTTTTGTTTTTTTTTTTAATTTTTATTTAATTTTTAAAAATTGTGTCTAGGAATTATGGAACCGTTTTTTTTTTCATGGTGCGCGATATTTACAATTTCCAAGAAATGAAATTGAATACTCGTTAGATGATTTACCTCTTGCTGTGGGATTAAATACGTATTTTTAGCAGGATGGCGCGCTTGCCCATAATATTAGAGATTTCACTGAACACCTACGTGATGTTTATGGCGATAGACTAATCTCGACACACTGTCCAGTCCATTGACCACTATGCTCACCGGAGTTGACACCATTAGATTCTTTTGTTTCGGGGTACGTGAAAGACCGTGAATTAGTGTAATCTCCAGAGCCAGGTAGTGTCCTATACAAGAAGGAGGACATTTTGAAAATATTCTATGAAAGTGTCATCTGAAAATAAATTGGTTATTATCTATCGCACTTATTTCATTCAAAATTTAATTCAATTATTGTCAATTTAAAACTTGTCTCACCTACCGAAATTGTTGAGATTTTATTTTCTAACAGATTTTCAAAATATTGTGTTGAATTATCAAAAAAAGTGACGGATTTGAAAAGAAAAATAAATTCGGTAAAAAGTGCTGGTAGCTTATGACGTACGTATTCATACAAAACTTAGTTTTTGACTGTATCCCCATATTCGAAAAGCACATCAACTTTTCACCATAATAAAACACTTTCCATAAAAAATTCTAATCGTTGAATCTCAGAAGAAACTCCCCTTTTTTAATACTAATCTGTTTCTTTCTTTGAACTGCATGAGCTTGTTGAGAGTTTCTTCTGCATTTTTATTCTTACCGACATGACAAATAAAAATGAATAGTAGCAAAGCCACCTAAGTAATATTTGTTTTTTTTAAAAATGTATTTTTCTACTCCCGTCTGTAAAATAGCTAATTACACACCGATCTAGCGTGCGGGAAGCGTCACTTTACTACGTCAGTTTCGTTTCCCATGGATCCGAGCCACTTCGGACATTTCCGGGATCTTACCGCACGGCGCAATCGGATGTTTTCGGAGATTTTACCGCACAGCTTGAATTTTGACGTTTATCAATTCTGACGCTCATGTCAGTAAACCGGTACACAAAAACTAAAGGTCGTAAAAAAAATATAGTATGCAACACGTTCGGTGAACTTTTTAAGTCACTCCTTTATTAAAATTCGAAAATTACTGTAATATTGACTAAATTATATCAAAAATTTGGACAATCAGCCTATATTAATCCTTCCAAATTTCAAATCGCTATCTCAAGCCGATTAAAAGTTGAACTGACGTGGCTTTTACTTGATGAAAATCCATTTATCAAAATAAATAAGAACTAAAAGTTCAGATTTTCACGAAATTATATATTTTGACATGACAATTGTTTCGACAACACCGTGTCTTTATCAAAAGTAATATTTACAAACTACCTGCTACTATATATATATATATATATATATATATATATATATATATATATATATATATATATATATATATATATATATATATATATATATATATATATATATATATATATATATATATATATATATATATATATATATATATATATATATATATATATATATATATATATATATATATATATATATATATATATATATATATATATATATATATATATATATATATATATATATATATATATATATATATATATATATATATATATATATATATATATATATATATATGATGACACTATATTCCGGGATATCATCCGTTCGCTCGTTGAACTCCGACTGGAATCCTGCAAATCTTGCATCCGACTGGAATCCTGCAGACGTTTCGCCAAAATCTCACTTGGCATCTTCAATGCTCGCGCTCCGAAAACACTTCGAACACGAGCATTGAAGATGCCAAGTGAGATTTTGGCGAAACGTCTGCAGGATTCCAGTCGGATGCAAGATTTGCAGGATTCCAGTCGGATGCAGGATTCCAGTCGGAGTTCAACGAGCGAACGGATGATATCCCGGAATATAGTGTCATCACATTTTTCCATCCGTGAATCAATACGTGAGAATATATATATATATATATATATATATATATATATATATATATATATATATATATATATATATATATATATATATATATATATATATATATATATATATATATATATATATATATATATATATATATATATATATATATATATATATATATATATATATATATATATAATTTAAGTTCAATAAAGGAGAGGTATTTAAATCTAATTGATCGTTAAGCAGTACATTTGAATGTCTCATTCTGTTAATCTCCATGGCTTCCAATAAATTTAATTTTCAAGTTTTTGTGGCTGTATGTAATATATCAAAATTGTCGTCAAAAATGTTTTTTCTGTGTTTAAGTGTGTAGCATAATTAGAATCTAGACTATTGTTTTTAAACGCTCTTATATGTTCGTTAATGCGTTTCTTGAAGGATCTACCTGTTTGTCCAATATAAATTTTAGGACAAGATCCACATTTCAACCTGTAGACACCTGATTTTTGGGATTTTGGACATTTCGATTTATTGTTTTTTAAATATTTTCCTATTGTGTTGTTAGTTCTGAAAGCTATTTTTAAACCACATTTTGACAAATGTTTTGAAACTTTTCACTAGGTTCTCCTATGCATTGTTCGTGTTTTGTATTTGGTTTCGGATAAATAGAGTTTACTGTTATCTGTATTTGTTTTTTATTTATAATTTTATCTATAATGGACGGATTGTAGCCGTTATTCAGGAATTTGTAATTTCTTTGTTGTAATTTTCTGTTGAGGGTGGCGTATTAAGAAGTTTGTGTATAAAAGAGTTAAATGCAGTCATTTTGTGTGTATAAGGGTGATTTGAGCTGTTATGTATGACTGTGTCCGTGTGTGAAGGTTTATGATATATTGAAAAATCTAATTTGTTGGGCACTTTGGTAATAGTTAAATCTAAAAAATTAATAGAGTTATCCTGTTCAATCTCGATAGTGAATTTTATACGATTATGTATTGAGTTAATGTAATTTAAAAAATAATTCAATTGTCTGTCCGTTCCAACAAAGCAAACAAAGACATCATCCACATATCTATACCACCATGAAAAACTTTTACTTAAAGGATGTTCTAGTATGATATTTTACAAATTATCTATAAAAATCTCGGCTAACAAAGGACTAAGTGGGTTTCCCATAATCAAACCTTCTTAGAAATATAAATCCGTCCATTAAATTCAAAATAATTTTGGTCTAAAGATACTATTAAGCAATCTAATAAATCTTGTTTTGAGTTAGGGTGAAATCTACTAAATATATCAAATCCATAGGTGGAATACTGTTAAATAAGTTTTGTACATCAAAAGACAATAGTGTTGCGTTAGAAGGGATTTTGACGTCTTCAATTTTGTTGATTAATTCAAAAGAATTTTTTATTGCAAATTTTGGTTTAAAACCTATATGGAACTTTGAAATATTTACTAATTTTGTAAAGAGTTTAACTGCTGGAGCTGTTATATTTTATTGAACAAAAATTCTCGCAATAAGGTTTTATGGTCATTTTTCGGTATATATATTAGCAGGTTGTTTGTAAATATTAAATTTGATAAAGGACACGGTGTTGTCGAAACAATTGTCATGTCAAAATATATAATTTCGTGAAAATCTGAACGTTTAAAAGTTATAGAATGTATAGAAAGAAAATATACTCCTTTACCTAAAATTATTTCAAGTAGCCACTTTTGTGCCATTTCGGGTTTCCAAAACTGCACGCCAGAACATTATACCGTAGGTAAGACGTAGTTGTATGAGAGCTGAATATAGAATTTTTAGACATTTTACGTCAATAAATTTTTTTAGTTCTCTAATTTTTTTTATGAATGCACCCAGTTTATATAGTCTATTATAAGTTCGAGACATTTAATTTCGGGTGTTGTTTTAATTTGTATAATTTGGTGATTAACATTAATGTTAAGTTTCTTGAATGAGGACAGCGAATCAGAATAACATCCAAAACGCATGTTCGTCCATGTTTGCCTTTGATTGGCAAACCACTGAAATATTCGAGCCAGCTCGGCTTCCGTCTTTTCTTTGAGAGCAGGCCAAGTGCCACCTTTAGTAAATAATAACGGAGTCATCGGCAAAACCTATAATTTCTCCGCTAGGCTGAATATGAAATAGGTTATTAATGTAAATATTGAACAGGACGCGCGTTAATTACAATTTTGTTTATTTGGCTAATAAAAAAAATGATGAAAAGACAATAGTTTCTTGTGCTCCTGAATATCATATAAGGATTTTTTACAAACCTTAAAAAACTACTACTAACTATTAACTTTTTCATTTTATAAGTTTGTAACTAACGAAATAACTCAATGTACAAAAACAGAACCATTTTGATTTTTAAAAGGAATTTAATCCTCAAAATAAAGTTCTCTTAAAATTTTGTTAACCACTAACCACGAAAAAAATTCTTTCACCTAGTTATTTCCATACATTCGATCAAATTTGCATTCTACATCATCGAAAATTATTTGTCATCGATACAATCACTAAAAGTAATTTTAAAAATAACAATTACGGTCTTTAAGCATTGAAAATTATTACATATCAGTTTAATATCATAATTGTTAATGTAGACGATTTTGAATGTGTTTATAGTCTTCGTCCTTGCCTCTCTCTTTATTTCGCTTTTTTTCACTTACTAAGCGCAATGATGATTGTGACCCTCTATCCTTTTCTAATACTCTAAAAGGAATGTCTAATGTGAATGCCGCGCTGGCTCAGAAAATATGACCTGGGAATCTTTCATTTCCCCCAGAAGAATGCAGTAAGCCTTTACGTTCATCCCCACTTTATTTATTTCTGATTTTTCATTATTTTAACACCAATAACTTACAGGGTGTCCGAAATACCATACCACGCCAAAAGTCGGAAATAATATATTTTACCCTGTATCACAAGATGCCATAAGTTTCCACAATTCAAAACTTCACTAAAACTGAGACTGGGTTGCGGAAACCACAAAGTTCCATCTTTGTTGGTTGAGCCATTTGGGTTGAGGTTTATTAAAATAAGTACTTATTCTAGCTTTATGCATTTATTAAACTACACCAGACAACCTAAATCCAGCAATTGGTTTTTCTGAATTTTCCATTTATAGCCATCCCAATTTTTACTCTTAAATCACACTTGTTATCGACTAGGTATTTTTTCATTCCCCTGCCGAAGTAATGGAAATAATGGATTGGGTCGTGAAAGTTCCCAGTCGTACGATAAAATCCACCAGGTACGAGGTGATAACGGTTCTTATATCGCCTTCTGCTGAAAACCTCACCGTACTCCAAAAGGATTGTCGCATGTGGTACGATCAAACGGACCACTCTCTAGACCACAGTCCGGTCTACAGCCACAACTTATGCAAATTCGAATGCAGAATTCGTTTGGCGTTACGATTCTGTCAATGTACTCCGTACTATTACAGGCGATTAGGTGAATCGAAACACCTGCTACATCACAAGGCTGCGCAATGCTAAAGTTTGAATCATCACATTAAGGGAGCGATATATCTGGTATAGGCGTTCATACATACTTTTTTATGACTTTGTATTAAAATTTATTGGACATCAAGAAATTGAGACAGTAAAAAAAAAAGAAAGTCAATTTCGCAAACATTTAGAGGCACTAAACGTCAAGATAAAGCAAGTGCTAGAAAACCTTGAAGCTGCATAAACTCGGGAAGAAGCTGAACATGACCGTCTTGAAGCTATGGCAGCTATGGAGAAGAAATTTGTGGAAATTCTCTAATAATGTGCAGTGTGTGATGTGAAAGATTGTAAACAAACAAACATCGTTGCAAATGACCAATCTGTGAGACAGATAACTAAATTGAAGCTAGAACATCAAAGTGACTTTAATGTCTTATAGTAACAAGTGCTTTAAGATTTTTGGTTTAAGGTTTTGTTAAATTTATTGTAGTAGAGATTGAGAAAAGCGTGTAGCAAAAGAAGAGAAGCGTTTTGTGGACATTCTATAATAATGTTATATAATAATAATTCGCCTCGTTTTTAACCCTCCACGCGAGGCACATAAGCCCATAAGAAATGGCCCTGATCTGACGCCGGTATCCATCTTTTTTTCGCGATTTTCGACTGATTTTTGGACCTTGCTATGAAACCTATTGAAAGTGGGGGTGGGGGAAGTGTGCTAAAAAAATAAAAAATCGCGTGTGCAAGGGTCTACAAAAAACATCATTCTTCAAAAACTGTTTACGAGATCAAAAAAATTCTTGACACCAGAAGAAGCAGAAGAAGATACTCTATAAACTTTTATTCTTGACAATTTTTCAAAAATATACAGGGTGCGCCGCAAATTCAAAAAAACTGAAAAATGGGTCCCCATATTATTGAAAATTGGTTATAACTAAGACTATGATTCAGATCTCTTTTTTTTTATTTAAAGTTTTCACCTATTGTACGGGGTGTTCCCAATATTCCGTGCTAAATGAGAAATATATTGAGTGTTCTAAATTTGCAGATATCAACTTTTTTTTTTAGCAGAGAAGTGAAAGACTGTGTCCACATTTAAATGGTAGAAATTGGGCGCAATCAAATTTTACCAAGTATTTTTTCAAAATGTTTAAAATTTTTATTTTGGCAATTTTAGCTTCCAGATAAGTATGTTTTTCTCCATAATCGTTTATCCGATTTGCAAAATTCTTTAACCGGCAGACGCAGAAGATCCAGTGCAATAACTTATATTTTTGCATTTTTTCGATTATATACAGGGTTTTCAAATTATAGACAAAAATCTAAAAGACCTAGAAAATTGTTCTTTTACAGAGTAAATTATTAGCCGCAAATCAAAAATCGTAAAAAATATGGCCAATTTGTTCAAACGGTGTCATAGGCCGCATCAAGAGCTACAATTTTTGTATTCGAGGTTTTCGTATATCACATACGCTGCTCGGGATATTTGAAAAAATCCATATTGAAATCGTTATTTCGGGGGCTATGAAATGCCGTCCTATTTTCAAAAAATTCTAGAACCAGGACGCGTGAAAAATCCAGGGTTATAACCTCTACTTCGAACAATGATTATACAGGGTGTGTTGTTTATGGGCAGAAAATCTAAAATATCCTAGAAATTTCCGTTTTTGTGGGTAAATTATTGGCGATAAATGAAAAACCGTTAAAGATGGGATAATTTTATTTGAACAGTATCGTAAACCGTGTCCTGAGAGAGTTTCAGATTTCGTCAATTATACAGGGCGCGAGATATTTGAAAAAATATCATTCGACAACGCTATTATTAGTGCAAATTTTAATATTTACCGATATTTGCTGTAACTTTGAAGTTCGACGAGATGTGAAAGACATTTTACACAGGATGTATGCATAATTCAAATACATTGATTTTGCGAAATTTCCATAGTGGCCCGTGGGAGCACGATAGAAAAACAATGCGTCCCTTTACCACACGAAACCGCCAAGTTCTTTCCCTTTTTAATAAAAGCTACTTCGCGCTACGCGCTACGAACTTGCCCCGCCCAGTGACGATTTTTCGAAGCAATCTTGTTAAATTTATTGTAGTAGATATTGAAAATAAAATGTCCTCAGTCATGCAACTATTTATGATCACGGCTATCTTGAAGCTATGGCAGCATTGGAGAAGAATTTTGTGGACATTCTATAATAATGTGTAATGTGTGATGTGTAAGATTGCACACAAACATCATTGCAAACGACCAATCTATGAGACAGATAATCGAATTGAAGCTAGAACACACAGGTGATTCTAATGTCTTATAGTAACCAGTGCTTTAAGATTCAACTTTTGCAAAATGTCCTCAGTAATGCAACTGTTTATAATCCGCTAAATAAAAACTGAAAAATTAAAGAAATTCCTTAACGAGATGGGACCATGTTTAATTAATAATAACCCAACGAAAACGTATCACCGAAAATATAACCTTAAATGCGATGGACATTTATCCTCCCTTTTCGTGATGGCTCCGCCTTGGTGTATAGGTGGTATTGGGTGAACGGCATGAGAAATTACAATATCGTTGTTTTAGATGGGGAACGGATCTGCAACATGTCTGGGATGTATTGCTTGTCGAAACACGCGGGTACGTAAGCGATTAGGAGCTTATTTTCCCTTACTAAAAAATTCCAGATACGATAATAACTTTGGAGTCGGGCGCAACTAAATCCGATCTGTGTTCCTGTTCGCAAAATTGCAACTTCAGCGTGTTTTTAGAAGCTGAAGAGTTAAAGTCGCAGCCGTTTTTGTTGCAGACTATATTCGAAATGAGTATCAGTTTTCCTGATAAACTGTACATCAGGAATCTCGTGTATACTCCTATTGATTTGACTGGTATGTATGTGGAATGCCATGTTATTACAAAACCACGAACTAAAATATACTGGAAACGGCGACTGACGTTGAAAAAATGTCATCTCATGTTTGTCGTATTTATTATTTTAAAATAACTAGACAGATTCCTTCCACAGGGTGTTTTCTAATTGAATGTTTATTATTAAGAGTGCGATTTTTGGTCCATTTTAAACAGAAAACTGTATATAATGTATTTTTTGAATGTCTGTAATAGCACTTTAGATGTTTTAATAAAATTTTGCACAGATATACTATGTATCAAGAGGCAATATTTGGTGCAGCACAATTTTTTTTAAATACCCCAGTGGCGGGCTTCCGGAATTTCACCTGCATATTTTGCCTAGCTGCTGTTACGCTACCGATTTCTCTCAAAATAAAAATTATTCTTACAATTTCCAGTCATTTCCAAAGAAATTTAATTTCTTGATTTTTTTCAATCCGACGTACGGTTTTCGCTTAGCCTAGGTCATGCATGAACCACACCTCTCCCTAAGTGGGCTTCATCTGTAAGTAGCATTTCTTGGTCAAACAAGGGATAATTCTCAATTTTGACCAAAAACCATTGACAAAAATTAACATCAATTGAAAATCTCTAGGCAGTAAAGCCTGGACTTTTTGAATATGGTATGGGTACAATAAAAAATTATCCAAAATTTTCCAGATTATTTGCATATTTTCTTGTACTAAGTTCAGGATCATCATTAATCGAATTTAAAACTGCTTCTTCAATTTCTGGAGTTTCTACAGTCAGGTGGGCCCCTTTTATGACTATTCGCCCCCAAAGTACCTGCTTCTGTCAACATTCTATGTATATCGTGTGCCAAATAAAATGATCCACTATACCATTTGGAATCTCATAGTAGATACGAAAAAAAGTTTCGTACAAAAGTTTCTTGGACTCCCCTGAAGATTTAAAATATTATAATTTTGTTGATACAGGGTGTCCCAAAAGTGTCACCTCATTTATCAGCTTTGTTATTTTAAATGGAACATCCTATATATTTCGACATTTTTTGAATCCTTGGTTAAATTAAAGCTCACTTTCTCAAGAAATTCCTATTCGAATTTTGTATAATTTATTCAGAAATTGAGATTATGTGTTTCATTCCATATTTTGATCGTCCCATACAAAATTGTGTTGTGACGCTTCTACCTAATCAGTTTAACAGATGCGCCTCAGCTTGTACAGGGCGTCTCAAACAGGTGGTGCGGTTTTGGCGAATTTAATTAACAAAATCTCAAGATTCTCAAACGGAACACCCTGTATTATTATTCATTTAACAATTCTAGGACAAAAAATGAGGTAAGTTTGTAATTTATCTGATATTTAAATTTTACATACTGTTAAATTCTTGTTGAATTTTTAAAATATTTTTTAAATAGCAAAGACATAAAGATATTTTAAAGATATAATATTGCTAATAGTACAGAGTTAATAAAACTTTAGAATTCCTATTTAAAGAAATATTTAATAGTTAATTATTTAGCTTGATTGAAAATACCTAATAACAAAAATAAATAATTATAGGCTAACTAACCAAATCAACAAATTTAAACAAGAAAGTTAACTAAAAAGGGTTCCTTAATTCGGTTCATAAAGTTTAGTTAAAAATGTTTCCTTTAAAATGCCACTTTCATTTGGCATCAAAACAATAAAGAAATATCAAAATATTTAAAAATATAGTTGGCTATGACATCACAATCTTTTTTTTACGCATTGAGGTATAAATAAACTTTCACGTTTCTGTTTGTTTTTGTTGTTTTACATATTTACATTTAAAAAGTTCATAGTTGTCAAGTTATAGTTTTTTGGAAAATATATAAACTTGGTGTAATATAAACTTTAATTATTTATTTTTGTCATTAGGTATTTTAAATCAAGCTAGATAATTAACTACTAAATGTTTCTTTAAATATGAATTCCGAAGTTTTATTAAATCTGTTGAAGTGTGTACTATATAGTCAATTTTTTTTTAAATTTAGCAACAGGTTTAATTCGTAGATCTTGAATATTATATTTTTAAAGGAAGTAGTATCATGTATCTGCTATTTAAAAAATAAGTAATATTGCCTAATCTGGGCAGTTTTAGATTCAACAAAAATTTATATGTTCCATTTGAAAATCTTGAGATTTTGTGAATTGAATCCGCACAAACGGCACCACCTATTTGGGACACCTTGTATAAGCTAAGGCACATCTGCCAAACTGATTGAGTAGTGTGCCATCTCTTTAGTATGTGGTTAAAGTTGTCTTTCGTGGTTTATACGAGGAGCGCCTTTTATATTTCGGGATTTTCTTAAACTCGTTCTGCCATCTGCCATATTTTAAATATTCAGAAGAGTCCAAGAAACTTCTGTGGGAACCTTTTTTTGGTATCTCCTATGGGTTTCCAGATCGTATAGTGGATCGTTTTATTTGGCACACGGTGTACATTTGAAAATGTTCGTCTATCTGGTATGACTCTATCAGAAAAGCACTCTTGATATAATCGCCTAGCTTCTGGCGCACTACCATCATCCAAACCATACCTAAAATGCAAATCTGTCAACTCCTCATTAGTAAACCGCACATTCTTTTTTAAAATAACAATGCTTGGATATATAATAATTATAAGGATTTCCAAAATAAAACTCAGAGTTTACGTACGTCGTAGTCCTACTTCGAAGTATTTCAATAAAACACATAGACAATTACTTAATTAAAAACTAAGTTTTAATTTATTACTTACATTTTCCTTTCCTTTCCTTGCTGCGAAAGCAGTTCATGGCTCAAGTTAAAAAACTACCTATAAGCAAGTATCATTATTCTAACTATGAGTATGTGCGTGACTGTTTTAGTAATTGTGTCTGACATATCTCCAATATATGAACATATAGCCACGATAAAAACATATTTGGTTGAAAAGAAAAATAGAAACGGTGACCTGTTCTGCGATTGTTATTTATAAACAGTGTCATTATTGTTTATGCATTTGTGATATGATTATAATGATTTTTATTTGTTTTATACCGAATAAATTCTATCTATCCTTCTATTCTGCTTTTTCAAAGGATTGCACAAATTAACAAAAACAAGTCCTTAATTGTACGTATAATAAGCGTGAAAATATCTAAAAATCTAAAAAAACATCCTACGCTATGCAACGAAAAGGTGAATCATGACACAAAGAGTCCGTAAATAAAATTAAATACAGGGTGTTCTGTTTAAAAGAGCGTAGGCTCTACACTTTGATGCTAATAATAATAGATATAGCAGCGAAAAGTCGATTTACTCTATCGCGGTATATACTGGAAAATGTTAATAATCAATTCTGATGTTTTCAGTGCAGATCGGCGGCATATTCGGACTTTTCCTTGGAGGCAGCATTTTGAGCTTAGTCGAGCTAATCTACTTCGTAACCATTCGACTATTCTGGGGGACTCGGCTCGACAGAGACGGCAATACTACCCGAGAATATTAACTGCTTACGGAACGACATCTTTTGGCGCCATTAGGGCTCGAGCTCTTGAGCCGAAAATTATTTGCATATTTTAACTTTAAATCGAACACCTTTTTCCGAATACAATCACTTTTCGCGAATCTACCGTCGATTTTTAATCAGGTTAGCGCCTTTTTATTGGATTCGATCTATCAAAAAATAACCGTAACCCGACAAGATCCGATCGAATCTTTATTTAACTGATGCCTCCATTTTTAATCCGTCCGCCGTATTCGCGAGAAGCAATCAAGCGAGAAACAATCTATGGCACATTATCTCCGTCTTCTTTACGTCTCGTTTATGGGTAATGGGTCAGAATGGAATAGATTTTCGTAGGTGAAAGGTATTTTAGATAACGGATGGTGCAGTGCGATATGAATTACAGATTAAACGGCAGCTGTTCTTCGCTCTAATAATTACATAATCACAATACTCACAATTCATGCAATTTAAACGTTCAAAATCTTAATTATCGCCAATCTTTAATTTGAAAATTAAACGTATATTATATTAAATAACACGCACTTCGAAAATAAATATATGTAAAGCTTTTGGGAACAACTGTGTGACCGTATGACTAATAATCAAAATTCAGCACTTCTAAAATTGTTAAACATAGATGTCCTAGTCAATTGCTTAAAATGCTCACTTAGGTTTACTCCAGTTATTAATTATTTTGACATTGCATTTTCTCACGTTAAAAAAAGAATTGCCTTAATGCAAGCAAAGCTGAGCTGTTCGTGAAATTTTTTTTTTTAGTTATGAATATCATAACTCGAAGTGATTTTTTTGTTGTAGTTAGTGTTCCATTCTTCTATTGGGTATCTAGGTAATTTTTTAAGATAGAAAGTTGTGGCAACACTGTGCTACTTTTTTGTGAAATTAAACATGCCGTCAACAAAATTATCCACGACCTTCTCGGTTTTTGAGATACAATGTGAAACCCAAAACTATCGATTTTGAAACCAAACAAACGTTCCTATTTCATCTTTTCCGTAGAATCCAGTGGCGTAGTTTGTTTTTTACTTGCTCCAACCGTTTATTAGTTATGACGTAAACATAAATAAATTAATTAAATTATTATGTTGTTAGTTCTGAAAGCTATTTTTAAATCACATTTTGACAAATGTTTTGAAACTTTTTCACTAGCTTCTCCTATGTATGTAATTGTTTTAAATTGTTCGTGTTCTGTATTAGGTTTCGGATAAATAGAATTTACTGTTGTCTGGATTTGTTTTTTTATTTATCATTTTATCTATAATGGACGAGTTGTAGCCGTTGTCCAGTGCAATTTGTTTAATGATATTGAGTTTTATGTTGTAATTTTCTGTTCTGTATTAAGAAGTCTGTGTATATCCGAAACCTAATACAGAACACAAACAAT